AACAGGGTCCTGTGGGACCGATAGGAGCCCAGCGCTGTGAGCAAACTCCTTTTGAGGACTTAGAAGTAGATTTTACATAAATAGGGCCTAACAGAGGAAATAAATACCTGCTAGTCTTTGTTTGCACCTTTTCAGGTTGGGTCAAGGTATATCCCACTCGCACTGAAAAGGAGAGAGAAGTCACTAAGGCATTGCTGAAGGATATAATTCCACGGTATGTAATGTCTCTGACCATAGGGTCTGATAATGGCCCAGCCTTTGTAGCAGAAATAGTACAACAGGTAGCCAAGGCTTTAGGAATTAAATGGAATCTACATACAGCTTACAGGCCTCAGAGTTCAGGGAAAGTGGAGCGCATGAACCAAACTCTAAAGCAGGCTATGGCTAAGCTATGCCAAGAGACAACCTTACCCTGGACAGATATCTTGCCACTTGTATTCCTGTGGGCACACTGTGCCCCAAGGGCCAGGGTAGGTTTCTCTCCCTTTGAAATTCTATACGGTAGACCCCATCCCTTAATTCGGCCAAAGGGATATTTGGGGGAAATAGGGAACTTAGAAATCCAGAAACAACTACAAGGACTTGGAAAAACTGTCTTTGTGGTCCCCAGGTGGGTTATTGACCGACTACCCGTCTCTCTAAGAACAGCTGTACATCCTTATAAACCTGGAGATCAGGTTTGGGTAAAGGTTTGGAAAAAGGAGCCCCTCGAGCCTACCTGGAAGGGACCCTATCCAGTCATATTAACCACCCCCACAGCTCTTAAGGTTGCAGGACTAAACACCTGGATCCACCACTCCCAGGTGAAGGCAGCCCATCAGCTGAGTGACGCCCAGCCTAAGTGGAAGGTGGCCTCTGACCAGAAACACCCTCTACAGATCACCTTCAAGAAGACAGCAGACCTGGTCAAGCAACCTGCTCCACGGAATTCAGATAACACCCTGCTGAATTCTCCCTGACACTAATCTTTCTTTCTTATCTCCTCCTAACGTAACATGCTCTAATATTTCTGGATAATCACTGGTTTTATCGAATAATTCTTATTTTTTTTTTTTAATATATTTTATTGATTTTTTACAGAGAGGAAGGGGGAGGGATAGAGAGTTAGAAACATTGATGAGAGAGAAACATCAATTCAGCTGCCTCCTGCACACTCTCTACTGGGGATGTGCCCGAAACCAGGTATATGCCCTTGACCAGAATTGAACCTGGGACCCTTCAGTCCGCAGGCCGACGCTCTATCCACTGAGCCAAACCAGTTAGGGCTTATTTTGTTTTTTTTATGAGTACCAGTGGAATCCGAGACTAGTACCAGGAAGAGAACTCCTCTGCTCTTGCTGGGACACAGAAGCACCATAAAATTACTGCTCCCCATACAGCAAAGAAACAAAGACCTTATCATAACTTGTTGGCTTACACCTTGTCATGCCATCTTTTGCTCCTTGCTTAGAAATTCACTACCCAAATATGCTAGACCGGGTAGTCCACGAGAAAACCCAATCAAGCCAGATTTTTGTTAGCTATACTTATCAGCCTGCAGCATGTTACAACTCTACTACCAAATGCAAGTGTGTGTGTATGTGTGGCGGGGGGGGGGGGGGGGGATTATATTGGACGGGAAAAAAAAATAGGACCTGTCACGGCCAATGTGCAGCTAACTAATGTTTCTCCTATTTCTTTCAGCAGCACACAGAGCCAACATCCAACAGGTCACCTCCCAGATGAACTATGCAACTCTACCCCCAAGGCTGAAAACACCACCTACCCCTGGTGCCCCCTGCAGGAACATTCTATGCGTGTGGCACCACTGCTTACCTCTGCCTGCCTGAAACCAGAAGAACTTCCTACAAACCCCTCTGAGAGGAAGAAGCGGGATGCTAACCCCTTGGTCATCGTCCCTTTCCAGCAGGAAGTAGCTAAGAGCGGTCATCACCCCTGTTCACCATAATATCCCTTGGTCGTTGCTCCACAAGGCTAAAAGAAGCTTGTGGGACAAGGCGGGGGGAGGGGATGAGGAGGAAACTGGTCTTGCAGTTTAAGGCTTGTCAGGCCATAAAAACTGTGAACAATGCACTGCTCTGGGGGAAGGGGGGAGTTCTTTATCGCTGGCTGGCCCCAGGACAGATCATTGGATATGGCCTGGGGACCCCCAACACCTGGGGGCCTTCCTGTAAGCCCAGGAAAGGGGGCAGAACCATATCTGTAAGACAAAGACCCCAGAAGGTTATAAAAAGTGAAGCCCTCTGCATGTTACTCACTCTGATTTGGAAATTATTCCCAGAGTCCACTAGTGTTAATAAACGGGGTCCTTCCCTTTCTCTAGGAAGCGTGCGTGGTATTTCTTTGGTCTTCTGCAACAGCGTGATGGAGGCAGGACGAAAAGGGGCTCTGTGGATAACTGGGGTGGGGGAGAGTGGGATTGAGAAGAGTGTATGAGTAGCCAGCAGGCAGATGGTAGCTGCTGACTCAGTATTGGCCCTCTCAGGAGAGAATTCCAACATTGACAGCAATATCCCTGTCATTGACCACAAAAACTGGCACCTCCTGGGTTCAAGAAACGCTTCTTGAAAGCATGAATGGCTGGCTGACTAGATGAGGGAGATAAAGAAATAAGACACAAGGGAGGAGGTAGGCAGGGAGGAAGAGGAAATGAATAAACAGAGGTGAGTGGGGACAGGCCTGGGGGAGCTTTTCCATTGCCATTTAATTAAAAAGGGGTTGGACTTGTAGGTAGTTAGACAGACATGAGCAGAGCAAGGACAATGGGTCAGATACCTTCTGGTCACCAGAATGGAAAGCCCCAGGTGACTAGCAATGGCCAATCAATTGTAGGGTGGGACCTAGCCCCCAAGATGACTTTCCCTCACCTAGCATTTCTGCTGGTAAGAGGATTGGACCCCCAGGATAATGTCTAGGCTTCAAGTTGTATTTCAGCTCCAGGCCCAGATAAGCGACAAAACCAGCACTGGCTGCATGGAATAATGACCAGCTGCATGAAATAAAGACCCCAGCAAATCAATCAGTGGAGACCACAGTCCTGAAAAGCTACTGAATATTCTATTGAAATTTTTGCCAGGGACCTCCCCTAAAATCTCCACACTTAAAACCTTAACGGAAGGAGTACCCAGGGGTTTCCCCTCCTAGGATCACGCCCCTGCCTTTCCCTCCCGCCCTGCCCCAGGCACTTGCCATTTCCTTCCTCACTCCCAAGCTCTAAAGGCGCTTCCTTTACCTCTATACTTTGTTTCCTAAGCCCATTTCTTTTCCATGCATTTATTATTTTATTTATTTTATTATTTAAAATGGTTTTTATTTTCTACTAACTGCTGGCAAATGCTAGCTGTGTGTCGAGCCTCCCTTCTGGTCTATCCATTGCATGTCCTGTCCCTGTCCCAGGGCTGCACCGCAAGTGCAGAAAGGAACAGTGACCTCCCACTTTAAAAAGGCAGGCTTTTCACACTGTACAGTGTAAATATTTCTCTCTTTTTCGAGTCCAGCCCGGCTAGAGAGCGGTCCGGTTCCTGAGTAGGGGCTGCTGGGGATTGAGAAAATGAAAGAGACAGACACAGAGATGGAAAGAAAAAGCTGTGGGTGGGTGGGACCACTGTCCTCTGATGGAGAGACAGGGCCCCAGAGCCAATACAGCCCGTTGATATTATACAGTAAAGAACCAAGAAGTTTTACTAAAGATCAAGACAAAGGAGATTATGTACATTCTTGGGTGGGCCCAATTTGTATTCATTCCAGGTGCTTGGCTGGATTTACATAACAAACCCACCCCCTGACCCCTGGGATGAAGGTCAAGCTGACGACACTCCTGCCTCTTGCAAGACATGTTTCCAGGAGGTGGCTTTGCAAACGCTGCTGGATTCAGCTGACAATAATTAAAGAAATGCTCATGTCTTTCCAGGCTTATCTACAGTACAGAGCTGGTAACTGCCTGGGAACAGAAGGGAAACGGGAGTCAGTGCTAACAGTCACCATGCAGCTCCCCTTCACCAAACAAACCATGGCCGGGACGCTGTCAGGATACAGGCCTTATACCTTCCCATAGAGTCCTTAATAATAGCCAGAAAGAACCACCAGGTACCAACCCTTTCTTTTCCACAAAACTATTTTTATTAATGGATTACAATAACACAGACAAGGGGGTGGGGGGAGGGGAGAGGCAAAGACATATGTAGCACTTTCAACAATAAAGAATTTAAATTAAAAATAATAATAATAATAATATGGAGAAGGAGAAGGAGCTGATGCCCAGTCCTGTTGACATCCCTTTTCTTTAGACTAGCTCAGGGGTGGGCAACCCCTGGCATGTGTGCAAAACATGGCACGCCAGTAACTTTTGCTGGCACGGGAAACCCTCTCTTAGAATCTTCCATTTACAATTTTTTCTTAATATTGACTTTTTTATTTTTCAGATAAATTCAGTGTAGGTGTATCTTAGATAAATAAATAATTTTACATAACAAGTTATCTTAAAGACCATAGACATGGATTGACGAGAGAGGGGAGAGCAATTTCTATGCCTCTGCCTTAACTCTCCCTGCCTTCCTAGAGCCAACCAGTGGTTTGGTTTCATCCACATATGCTGTGAATCTTTGTTCTCAGTGATGAATTTTGTTAAGTCTTGTAATAGGAGTAGCCTGACGGATGAAAGTAGTAGCTCGTGCATATCTCTGAAGGTCACAAAATATAAACCTGATGTAAAATCTCTGTCATCAGTGATGCAGCAGCAAAAGTCCCACTGATAATATCAAACGGAGTCATAAAGTTTTCTGTCAGACTATCAGTGTACATGTATACATTAAAAAATAAATGTATTTTTCATCATCATATACTGTGTTTTTGTCACTCAAATGAATTTTATTATTTCTTCAAGGTTCTTCACATGCGTACACCTTAAGAGATATCAAGTAGGCATAACATGTTCTCAAAAAAATTAGGGTTGGCACCCAGAAGAATTTTGAGTCAGAAATTTTGCTGGTTTTGGCAGGCACTCACAAAAAGGTTGCCCACTCCTGGACTAGCTCTTCCCCCCTCTTGCCTGTTTTCTTGGGCATTTTCTTAGCACAAGGATCTTCTAGTTCCTTAGCCTTATAATAGTGGGGTGCCACCTCCAGAAGCCAACCGCTCTCGATCTCCAGAACCTGTCTCATGAACTCCTTGGTGGTGAAGACCAGTTCGTGGTAGAGCAGCCAGCGAGGCTGTTCCTCAAACAGGGAGGAGCTGGGGTGAATGAACACTGTCTGCTGCTTTTTCACAGTGCGGTAGCCGCTGCCAGGCAGCCATGCCGTGTGGTAAAAGTAGCCGGCAGTGATGGCCTTGCGGACACGGAGAGAGTCCCCCTGGCAGGAACTGAGACCAACTTCCACCCGCTCCAAGAGCCCCTTCAGCTGGTCCCGCACATCCCCGGCTGGGCGCATGGACCTGAACTGGACGAAGTTCTCATAGCACCACTGGGAAGAGTAGCCGATCTGGGCCCACTGAGTGTACACGTTTAGCAGAACCAGGTGGTCCCAACCGAGAGGAAGAAGTTGACCCGGGCGTTGTCGGCGTGGACAACCTTGTCCTTGGGTCGGTAGAAGATGGAGTCGCCCACGGACAGCATGCGGCCCCTGTCAGGATCTCCTCCGAACAGCTGTACTTCTCAGAGGCCAGGATCATCTTGGACAGCATGGGGTCCAGCGGCAGCTCGGCCATCTTTCGACCGGTCGTGGTGAGCCCCCCCGAGGTGGTTGAGGGCTCCCCGAGCAGAGAGCTGCTCCAGCGCCAGCAGCAGGGTCTCACAGGGCGGGGGGTCCGGGAAGTCAAAGTGCAGGAGGCCGTGGGTCCCCAAGCTCTTGAGCAGCAACGCCACGTTGCCCAGGCTGGTCCTCTGGATCTCGGGCACCGTGGTGTCCTCCAGCTCGCGCGGATAGGCCCAGGCGGTGTACAGGGGAAGCACTTGCCCGCCGCCATGCGGCCCGCCCGCCCGGCTCGCTGATTGGCCGGGGCCTTGCTGCAGGGCCTGACTGTGAGCGACTCCATGCCGGTGCGGGGGTTGTAGCTCTTCTGCTTGCAGAAGCCTGTGTCCAGCACATAAACGATGCCCTCGATGGTGAGGGAAGTCTCGGCGATGTTGGTGGCCACGACCACCTTGCGTGCCCCGGGGGGCATGGGCTGGAAGACGCGGGCCTGCACGTTGGAGGGCAGGTTGGCGTAGATGGGCAGCACCAGGAGCTCCCTGACTTTGGAGCCCAGGCGGCGGCAGCGCTCCCAGAGCATCTCGCAGGCAGCCTCAATGTCCTCCTGTCCCGTCAGGAACACCAGGACATCCCCCGGGGGCTGGGTCACATGGATCTGCAGCACAGACACGACGCAGGCCTCCAGGTAGTCGGCCTCCGGAGCCTTGGTGTAGTAGAAGATGTCGACTGGGAACCTGCGCCCAGGGATTCGGAAGACGGGGGCGTCCTCGAAGAAGGCGGCAAAGCGGGAAGTGTCCAGCGTGGCCGAAGCCACCAGGACCTTGAGCTCGGGTCAGAAGCGAGCCACGTCTTTGATCAGCCCAAAGAGAAGATCCGTGTGCAAGGTCCGCTCCTGAGCCTCATCCACCATCACCACACTGTAGCTCGCCAGGTCAGGCTCAGAGAGGAACTCGCGGAGCAGCATGCCCTCGGTCAGGTAGCGCAGGACTGTTCGCTCGGACGTGCAGTCCTCAAAGCAGATGCTGTAGCCCACCTCGTTCCCCAGCTTCACGCCCATCTCGCGGGCGACTCGGGCGGCCACACTCATGGCGGCCACTCTCCTGGGCTGAGTGCAGGCAATCTTCAGGCCCTTCTTGGCATAGCCCTCCTCCCAGAGGTATTGCGGGATCTGGGTGATCTTCTCGCCCTCGATGAGGAGGGTCTGGTGGCTAGCGATGGCAGCCAGGAGCTCCTGGCCCAAGGGGAACACGGGGAGGCTGCGGCGGACGGCCTGCATGCACTCCTCCTGCGGGGCCTGGGTGGAAGGGGGTGGAGCCGAGGGCCCCTCCGCGCCCTGCAGCTGAGCGGTCTGGACAAACTCGATGGTGTCCTCTTCCTCGAGCACCAGCTGATACTTGGGCTCCTGGCCGGCAGCGTCTGGGGCCCCGAATTTCAGGGCGGCGGCCGGCAGCCGGGCCTCCTCCCAGCGCCGCTGCTCCTCCCCAGGGGCGCCCAATTCCTCCTCCACCAGATCCACAGCTGGCGCTGGTGGTCCTCGGGCCTCCTCGGGCATGCGGTCGTCCGCAGCCATCCGAGGCGCGTCTGTGCCTCTTCAGCAGCCTTCCTGTCCGGCCGCTCCAGGACACTGCGAGCGCCACCCCTGTCCCGCCGCCGGCCCCGCTCCGCGAGGGCATCGCGCTGCTCCAGGTCCTGAAGGCGCTCTCGCTCTGTGCGCTCCCATTCATCCTCCGACGCTTGCTTTTCTGTTTTCTTCTTCTTCTGCCCGTTCTCAGGAACCTCTGCCTCTGCCTCCTCCTCCCGGAGTCTCTTCTTCCTGAGGTGTTCTGGTTGCTTACGTGTCTTCTGGAGACTGCTCCCAGCCCTACCCTCGCTCTCCTCACTGCTGTCCTCGCTGTCCTCCAGCAACTTATGGGATCGGTTCTTGTCCGGCAGAGCGCGGGCCTCTGGCTGGGCTGCCCGAGCTGGCCTTCCCACCACCGCCTTCCGAGGCACCTTGTGCCAGAGTCTCTGGGCGAAGTCCGCGGCCGGCCCGCTAAGGTCCAGGGCATCGGTGTCCCGCAGGCGCTGCAGGAACTCTTGGGCCAAGTCGCAAGGCTGCGCGGTGCCGATCAGGAACAGGGCGAGGTGCGGCTCGCTCAGCCCCAGCACCGAGTGCAACTCGTCCTGCACCCAGCGCTCCAGCCTCGCTTCCGAGTCCACCGCCTTGCCCCTCTACCCGGGCCGGTCGCCCATTTCTTTCAGGAATTTCTCTTTCTACACCGATGTGACTTACCAAACAAGTGTTCTCTTACAGTTTGGGTCTTGGCTCTGAATTCTTTCCTAGCCAGAACCCAAGCATCGCCCCGCAGCCTCCGCACCCCAGACGGGACCCGCAACCACCCGCAACCGCAACCCAACCGCAATCCTGGGATCCGCACCCACAACCTGAACTCTGGGATCTGCAAGCCAAGAGCCTGGTGCGAACAATGGTAGAGATCATCGCCCTTATGCAGGAATTTGAAGGCAAAGGCAGTGGTCACGCCCTTAAAAAACGCCAGGGGGCCCTGCCCCTCGTAATCCTTTTCCAGGATACTGGCAATTCCTAGTTCAGTGATGGTGGGTGGCTATGTATCTCCAGCGTTACTGCCAGCAAAAGTTTATTCTGAAAATAACATTTTCATACTTAGAAAAGCTGCGTAGGAAAGGAGTTTTTATTTTTATTTTTTTTAGATATATTTTATGGATTTTTTACAGAGAGGAAGGGAGAGGGATAGAGAGTCAGAAACATTGATCAGCTGCCTCCTGCACACTCCCCACTGGGGATGTGCCCGCAACCAAGGTACATGCCCTTGACCAGAATGAAACCTGGGACCTTTCAGTCCTCAGGCCCACGCTCTATCCACTGAGCCAAACTGGTCAGGCGGAAAGGGGTTTTTAAAACTTGAAAACGACCATACCATTTGCAATGTGCACTGGATATGCAAATGAGATCTGAATAGGTAATCACCCTTTAGGCTCTGGGAAATGGCTTAGTATTCAAAATTTACTCTGGGCTAGGGTGGAGGGGGATGGGAAATGGGGGACATCTGTAATAGTCCACGATTTAAAAAAAAACTTTTTTGTATGTGTGGTTAACATCACACATACAAAAATATTTGCTCTGGGGCCACTTTTACAGGCATAGGAAAGGCTTGGTTTCCTGGGATCTAAACTCGGACTTGATCAACTTGTGACATTCTGCTTCTATCCATTCATACAATGGGACCTTGAGTTCGGTTTCTAAATAAAGGGATTACCTGATAGGTGGGGCAGCGGCAGGCCTTGACAATACCGACATATTTAAGGGTTAACACAAAATTCAGGATAGTAGCTACCCACCCTGGGGAGCGTATAGGCGGGTATTAAGAGAATCATCATAAATGTTCCCTTTTTAATCTATCAATGTTGTTAAAAGACAAAATTCAGCTGAGTAAATTTGAAGATCTAATGGGATTTATTAAGTAATTAATGAATCACAAGCATCCATCTACCAAGTACCTTGAAGGTACTGGAGCCACATGGCCTGGCTTTTGATCCCAGTTTTTCCACTTCCTAGCTGTGTGACCTCGAGCAAGTTACCCAACCTCTCTATGCCTCAGTTACTCAATTTGTGAAGCAGATATGATAACGGTATCTACCTCATAGATTTAGTACTAAGGATGCTTGGCCCCTAGTCTGTGCTGTCTAAGGGAAACTATTAAATCATTTCTAAATCAGCTAAGATTGTTGGGATTGAACTAGCTACTTGCCGATGGGCAAAGCTACTGGATTCTCTCTTTGGCTCTCAGAGCAGCCTTGGGAAAAACAGAAGCTGCTCGAGCAAGACAGTCCTGGTCCTCTCGTAGACTGCCAAAGAGCATAAGGCCGCACAGTCCAGTAAGGGATCATTTGGTGGCTGGTTAGAGTCACAAAGCACATGCCCAGTGTGGACAAAAGGGGCCACATGCTAACATGACAAGCTCAGTGGCGGCCTGCATGAAAGTCTTGCAAACTCAAAGACCTAAAGTAACCACAAAGGAGGGTCTGAAATTAAAACTTTAACTAAAAGCAGTTACGGTGGATAGTCACGTCCTAGGCTGGTATCTTCCCTGACAAGGTCAATCTTTACCTTAACTGAGCCTATGTCTTTTTGCATCTACGAAGAATGGAGGAAGAATGGAGACTTTTACCCCCCAAAGGCCCCCACATTTGTTCTTGTCAGGCCCCATCAGGGGACTTGGGCGGTGTTCCTGTTATCTGCTCAAGATCCCAAGACTGTAAAAGTACTTGTTCACTGAAAGGGTGTAGGTGCAGATGTTTGTTTGATGCTTGTTTTTCTGCCTAGGTATAATTATTTGTTCATGTAACTGTGGAAGTCTGTGAGAAAAAAACACACGCTTGATTTCTTTAAGGCTGAATGCTCTGACCGATAGCAAAACGCCCCGAGTGGACGCTGGGTTTTCTTCCCAAAGGGTGCTTGCTCTCTGTCAGAGGTGGAATCGGCCCGCCTAACTAGTAAAAATTTCTGTCTATGTTTGTGTACTAGGGACTTTGATTTGCTCTGTGATTTTGCTGTGTTAGGTTGAAATTTTGGAATTCTGGGGTAGATTTAAAGGTATTTGTGGCTTTTCTTGTCTGACTGGGACATTCAGGGGCGGGCTCACAGCTCCTCAGGGCAGAGAGATTTTATGGGCCCCGGCCCCTGCTTGTGCTGAATTAAGGATCTTTTCTTTCAGGAGACCCTCCAGGCTTTTGGTAAAATTTCCCTGCGCCCTTGTCATCCTCTGCCTTCTTTTCTAGGCCGACTGAGAGTCATTTTCCTCCACAGGAATTGTCTTCCTCTAACTCACAATAGGAAATAATACAGGCCAGTGTCATTTGGCTTGCTGGTTAAAGGAAGACAATGGGCCCTGGAATCTGTAAAAGTGGCCGGGAATGAAGCTGGTCAAATGTACTGAAAGGGTTCAGTACCTGTTGCTGTTAGCAGAGGGCTGATAGCCCCTTCCAGTGCACTCCCTTGGGAGAGGCCTGATCGCTGCTCTGCCACGGGGGACAGGTACGATGGCAGGGGCCTGGTACCCAACCCACTGCCACAGGAGCGCTTTGTAATATGCAGGGCATGTTTCCCCTTGGCCAGCGTAAGGGCCGCTGGCCCCCACCATGCCACCCGTTGCTGGCTGGAGGCAAGCGCTTTTCCCAGCAGAAACAGAGAGAAAAGGACTGCCAGACGAAAATACCTCTCCCCCCCCACCCCCCCCCACAGCCCCCCCTGGGGCGGGAGCACCTCCACTAGTAGCCTGGGGACCCTGCCCTGAGCTCCCCTCCTCTGCCTATCCGGCTCCCATCCCCCGTGCCCTCTGCTCACCTGGGTTGTAATTGCCTCTCATCCGCGGAGGAGTTATTGTCAATAGGCTGCCACTGCTGCTGCAGCAGCAAGGAGGGAAATTTCCTTGTGCCTCCCTGAGCCCCAATAAGACCCAAGAACCCCCGGGACAAGGCCTCCTTGGACACTTTTCACCGTGTTCTGTTGGGTGGGTGGGGGTGGGGGGCTTAAAAGGCAGCAGCTAGAAAAAGAAACTCCAAAAATTAGAAGGATTTGAAGGAATGAATTGGTCCCAGCTGGTAGAGGTGGCCCAGAAAGTCTTTAACAATAGGGACACCATGGAAGAGAAATAGGACTAAAGGAAAGAAAAGGCTGGCAGCAAACTAGGAAGGCATTAGTATGCCTATTGTAGGAAGTAGGGGCACTGGAAGAGAGAATATCCTGGTAGGTTAACAAAGGAAAGCAGAAGGCCGAGGAGAAAACCCAGGCTCTGAAGGATTTACACTCAGGAAAGGGGACTAATAGGGCCAGGACTCCTTTTCCTTGAACCCCCTGGAGCCCAGAATAATAATTTTTATAAATAGGACCCCCCGTTAGTTTCCTGGTGTATTCTGGGGCAGCCTATTCAGTCTTGACAGAGCCAATGGGGCCCGTAACATCTAAGAAGACATCAGTCCAGGGAGCCACCGGACAAACTGCCTTTTTCCTTGGACATCAAAGAGGACTGTGGACCTCGGAAAGAACATGGTAACTCATTCGGTTCTAGTCATGCCAGAATGCCCGTACCCCTTACTTGGACGTGATCTCTTACAGAAACTACAGGCCGCTGAGGGCCTGTTAGGCACCTTACAAGCATTAGGCTACCGGGTGTCAGCCAAGAAGGCACAGTTGTGCTCCTCTGATGTCACATACCTGGGGTACAACATTAGCAAAGGCAGATGGAGCCTCTCTCTCAGTCGAATAGAGGCAATCTTACGGATCCCCATGCCTACAGCCAAGAAGCAGGTTCGGGTATTCTTAGGGGCAGTTGGATACTGCCGCCTGTGGATACTGGGGTTCGTGGAGATTGCTAAACTGGACCGAAGTGGAACAATGGGCCTTTGAGGAGCTAAAAACGGCTCTCATCTCAGCACTTGCCCTAGCCTTGCCAGATGTCATGAAGCCAAGCCCTTCTACCTCTACGTGAGTGAGGTAAGGGGCATTGCCAAAGGGGTTCTCACCCAGACCCTAGGTCCCTGGAAGAGACCTGTGGCCTATCTGTCTAAGAGACTAGACCCTGTGGCTGCAGGGTGGCCAGCGTGCCTCCGGGCAGTGGCCACCACAGCATTGCTGGTAAAGGAGGCAGATACGCTGACTTTGGGCCAGGAACTAGCCCTGACAACACCCCATGCTGTGGAAGCCCTTCTTCGAGATGCTCTGGAGAGATGGATGTCAAACACCAGGGTCACCCAGTACCAAGCTCTTCTCCTGGACCAGCCCACATCCAATTCCACAAGACACTGGCCATCAACCCTGCCAGCCTGCTCCCAGATGATGATCCAGAGGAGCCATTCACAACTGCATAGAGTTAACAGAAGCAGTACAAATGGCTTGCCCAGACTCGACAGATGTCCCGCTATCATCACCAGACAAGGTACTGTTATGTACAAGATGGGAGCAGTTATGTTCAGGATGAAATCTGGTATACGGTGGGCGGTGGTAGTCACCCTAGACTGCCCAAGGAAACCGAGCTGCAGACCAAGCTGGCAAGGAAGCCGCCCAAAAACCAGTGGGGCCTTTACAAGAGGAGGAATTGGCAGAACAGAAGCAAGCTACCAGAGGTCCAAATGGTTGGTGGACTCTACCAGATGGCAGACTGTTGGTCCCAGAGGCTCTAGGTTGGACGTTAGTTGCCCAGTTACACCAGGCTACCCACATAGGTGTCACCAAGACTTCTGAACTTTTGTGAGGCAGGTCACAGGTAAATGCAAGGTATGGGGGGTCCCCCTGGGAATTCGGGCCCAGGGAAACTCCCCAGGAGAGCATTAGGAGGTAGATTTCACAGAGATCAAGCCACCGGCACCAGGGTATAAGTACCTGCTAGTTTTTATAGACTCTTTCTCAGAATGGGTTGGAGCCTATCCCACCAGGACAGAAACTGCCTCTATAATGGTCAAGAAATTACTCCAGATTATCCTAGATTTGAGCTACCAGCAGTCATAGGATCAGATAACGGCCCCACCTTTGTAGCCAAGGTATCTCAAAGTATAGCTCAAGTCTTAGGCATAAATTGGAAACTCCATTGTGCACACCGGCCACAAATTCAGGGCAGGTATGAACAGGACTCTAAAAGGACTTTAACTAAATTTATCCCAGAAACCGGTGAAAACTGGACCAACCTCCTGCCTCTGCCTACTTACAGGCCAGGTGTACCCCCAACCAGGAGGGGTTCTCTCCTTTTGAAATCATGTTTGGTAGACCTCCCCCTATCTTACCCAAAGTTAGGAGAGGAATTAAAAGTTTAAAGTCATAACCATTCCTTGTTCAAGTCCTTGCAGGCTCTGCAGTATACCCAGAGAGCCACCCATAAGCTTGTTTGAGACGCCCTGCCAGTGCCACCTTGGACCCTGTACATCTTTTCAGCCTGGGGACTCGGTGTGGGTAAAGAAGTTCGGGACCCAAGGACTCACCCCAACTTGGAAGGGACTATACACTGTCGCCCTAAGCATGCCCATGGCTGTTAAGGTTGACGGCATCCAGACCTGACTACACCACTCCCAGCTCCTGCACCAGGAAACGGCCTTGATCCCGGCAGCCAGTGGCCTCACCCGTGAGATCCCTAGCCTGGGTTCCATGCAAATCCTCTTATCTATGCTACTGAAACTCATGATGATGAGCACAGGGAGCCAGTGCAAGATGTCCATCACAGGACTGCAAATTAGAAACATTTTGGAGATATAAATGGCATTATTTAGTATACAATGTGTTTGACTGAGGTGCAAATGGAAGTCTATAATTACATTAAAAAAGGCCTGCCTGGCTGGTATTGCTCAGTGATTGAGCATCGACCTATGAACCAGGAGGTCACCGATTGATTCCCAATCAGGGCACATGCCCAGGTTTCGGGCTCAATCCCCAATAGGGGGCATTTCTCTCTCCCTTCCTCTCTCTCTGAAATAAGTAAAACTATATTTAAAAAGAAAGAAAAGAAAAAGGCCTGGAAGAACACCTTATGCTGA